ATATAGAATACAGAGTGTACCATTTAAATATTACCCAACAATCGCGTAGAAAGGTAGGGATATTAAAAACAGAAGCAGGTGTTAATATATTCTCCCAACGCCCCCTCCTCCAACGTGACACTGGAACCAAGGTCAAACTTGTCGTGGCCCACGTCAACTGTTAAAAAGTTGTGTAGGTGACAGCACGGGTTACTCACGGGCAGAACTTGAGTTCATTCTGGAACAACCCTGGTCATCGAAATCGTCTGTTGCTAAGCAATGCGCACCCTGTCAAGGAAGTACAAAATAAGACAACTGTGTATCAACATTACGGGACACAGGAAGTGTTTGTGTCATCGCGAAGCGAAGGAAGTGGACATTGCTGCAAAGCTGCTGAGTAAAAATTAAATGGCCATATACTACTGTAGTTAAGGCTGACTTTTAAGTGAAACAATATATATGTACATTTATTGTATTGCGTTGAAGAAGCCTAAATAAGAACATCGAAAATCTAACGGTTTTCAGCAATCCTTGAATTCGTACAAAAATTTCCGAAATGAAATACTGCGTATTTGTGGTCCAATTTAAAATATTTGCAATAACTTACGTCTCGACAAGACAAAACACCAATTTATCCATTTGCATAATTCTCTGCCCCCCCCCACTTCACAACACAGAATGATCAAACGCCATCATATTGCTAGATACAAAATCGCCTATGTGTTCCGATTTAACGGGACATGTTGCTAATCTTTCGAAATCAGATCTCAAAACATACATTCTGTAAGTTTATATTCTGTAAACAGAAAAAAACAATATCCTTTACGACAGAAGTAAATTAAAAATACGATAAAAGCATTTTTAAGCCTTGACGTCATTAAATAATGTACGAACAAAATGGAAGACAAAAATTAAATTGAACTAAGCATGACAATTTTATATCGTGATGATCAATTTCATATACATAACCTCCTTAATTCCATTTGGAATATGGAATAATTGCCTCAGCAGTGGAAGGAGTCTATTACTGTACAAATTTATAGGAAAGGCGATAAAAGTGACTATAGTAATATAAAGGCATATCACTATTATCAACTTCATACAAAACTGTATTCAACATCTTTCTCATAAGGTCAAATCCATACGTAGACGTATCAAGATCTTTAATGTGGGTTTCGACGTAATAGGTCAATTAATAATCAGATTTTTTGTATTCGTCACATACTAGAAAAAACAGTTACGGGGGAAGTATTCTACAATATTCTCATTAAAACTAGTTAGGCTTGTTAAAATGTGTTTAAACTAAAGCTATAGTAACGTCCATATAGGTAAATATTTTTCTGACACGTTCTCTATTCAAAATGTTATTAAAAGAGGAGATACTTTATTACCAAAGCTTTTAAACTTTGCTTTATAATACGCCAATAGGAAGGGAGTGAATCTGAATGGGACACGCCAGCTTCTGGTCTGTGCTGATGATGTCAATCTACTGGGGGAATAACGTAAATACCACAAAGAAAACACAGAAGCTCTAATTGACGTTAATAAGGTTGGTCTGGAAGTAAACACAGGAAAACGAAGTGTACGTTGACGTCTCGTTACCTGAATTCAGGGAAAAATCGTAACATAAAGACAGCTAATGAATCCTTTGAAAATGTGGCAAAGTTCAGATATTTGTTAGCGACAGTAACAAATCAAAATCTTATTCATAAGTGAATTAAGTGTAGATTAAATTCGTGTAATGCTTGCGACCACTCAGTTCAGAACCTTTTGTCTTTTCGTCCGCTGTCTAAAAACGTAAAGATTAAAATATACAACACTATAATTTTGCGTGTAGGTTTTCATGGGTGTGAAACTTTGTTGCTGGCACTAAGGGAGGAACTGAGGGTGTTTGAGAGCAGGGTGCCGAGCAGAATATTTGGACCTGAGAGGGATGAATTTGTGGAAAGCTGCAGAAAGTTTCATAATTAGGAGCTTCATAAGTTGTACTTATCGCCAAATATAATTAGCCTGATCAAGTCAAGGAGGATGAGATGGGCAGGGCATGTAGACCGCATGGGAGAGAAGAGGAATGCAAATAGGGTTTCGGTGGGGAAACCAGAAGGCAAGAGACCACTAGGAAGACCTTGTCTTTGGTGGAAGTACAATGTATCTAAAAGAAACAGGATGGGGTGGTTGGCCTGGATTAATCTGCATCAGGACAGGGACCAGTGGCGGTCTCCTGTGAACACGGTAATGATCCTTCGGGTTCCATAAAATTTTGTGAATTTCTGCAGTAGCTGAGCGACTGTTGGCTTCTCAGGAATGACTCAGGTTCATGAAGTAAGTAAGTAAGATGATGAATTTCATTAATATTGCAGCAAATGTTTATTGAAGTAGGCTAAAATACATCCGTTTTCAATATTCGTCCACGTATGCTAAATAAGTCCGTCTACGCAAATTTATTCGCAAGGATTTAAATAATCTCGACAACTGTTTGTGCTCGTGTGTAAAGTCGTACTTAAAACTGTCAGAACTACTAAATAAGAACTTCTACTGGTCAACAGTTTTTCATATAATTCTCCAACATCAAATTTAAATAAAACTTATTTTTGTATTCTCAGGACTGTTTCACGGTAGAAGATAAACACGACCTACGTCACATAAGCTGAGCTTAAAAACGCCTTGCTTAATCCCACGATTAAAAGCGTAACTAAGAACATAACTGCATATTTTAAGGTCATCACTCCCCCCCCCCCCCCCCCCAATAACTGCTAGGCGAGAAGTCAACAGTACATCGTTGTACAATTGAAACATGAAATTTGGTCAATCAGACGCTAAAAAACCGAACAGCAATATTGACCATAGATAAGAAAGAGAAACGACAAACACTTAAAATGTAGACTACATGGTTGATGCTCTGTAAATTAAACTAGAATTTTTTTTAGCATCAATCCCCAAGCGACGTTTACAGCCCAGAGCACGTTAAATATATCGCATATGCTAAACATATATCAGACAAGCAACATTATTTCAAAACAACAGGCTCTACTATATAAATAATATGAATCATGCTAAGAGGTCGCAATAATGGCTACTTATGAATACATCGAAATGAGTTAATAAAATAACGTACTTTTCGAATTGGTCCTGGGAAATGAGGTCACAAGGGCTAGCAATCGTGGGCCATAACACCGGTTCCATGTCACAATAATCCACTGTCTTAAACCACGTACTTAGCGCACTTAAAATTCCACACATACCGGAATGGCGACCGCTGCACATTAACACTGTTCCGCAGAATCTCAATTCCGCGTACAACTTACAGACACATATTGCATTATAATATATAAACTACGGGGTAAGTAGGTTAACGGCAGTACTTCAATCTACCCACAGTAACAAGTCAACTAC